TCGTTCAAAATAAGAAGGAAGAATGCTTTCATACTAGGATTGGGATTGTGCCAAAATTTTCAATAATTTGCGATGACTTTCCAGGGCCGATGGAACATGTTTCTTGAGCACATTTGACCTAAATGAAGTCACCAGCCAAATACGGCCGAGAGACTTGACTTCGCTGAAATGCCGCTGGCGCAAGAACAAGTAAACGGCCTCCTGGTTGTGGCATTTTGCGTCTGATACCCGTGGCTTCTTTTGCTCTCGGTGCAAGAACAGGTAAACGGCCTGCTGGTTGTGGCATTTTGCGTCTGATACCCGTGGCTTCTTTTGCTCTCGGTACAAAAACAGGTAAACGGCCTGCTGGTTGTGGCTTGTTGTGTCTGATCCCCATGGCTTCTGCCTCGGGGCAATTGAAGAATTCTATAGCAAATGCCGGCCGTGTCAATATGCTTGATTTCCAATTCTCGGAAGACTCGGGAGAGACGAGCATAATGTGTATTTTCTTTCGCCATAGGGTCAACAAGTTGAAGCCCGAGACTGGAGGGCGCAGTCCATGCATCGTTTGCAGATAAGAGTTAAGGTAATCTCCAATGAGGAGATTCCTTCTCGCATCTGCGTATCGGGCATTTGGTTAATAGCATGCCGATTGATGATATTCGTGGTATCTTTGTAATGGTCCCGGCGGTCAAAGTCCTCGTCTCTCCGTCGTCGAAATCAATGTCATTGCCGTTGAGCAGAGAAGTGTACTCGATGTTGCGATTTTCGGTCTTGATTGTGGTTCTTCCGAGTTGGCAAAAAAAACAGTAGTATTTCAGGCCTGATCTGTCCAGATTTTCTCGGATATCTGTGTGTATGCCTCCAGACTCTTGAGTTGAAACAGTATACATGTCGCTTCAACAGTCGTCGAGGACGAATATGCCGCCGGAATCGACACTAGCGCCCGACGAGCTTCTTCTCCGTGGAGTCTAGCTCGTTCTCGGTATCTAGATTGAAGTGGTAATATCTGCTGCTGGTGTACGCAACATCTACCACGCTGGAAACCGACTTGAACCTGATTCCTTTCTCGCCGATAAACCCAGATTTTACATCTCCGAGCCCTTGTGGCATCGACTCCGACGGCACGTGGCGTCGAAAACCTTCAAGGTAGACGTCGACAAGCCTGGACTAGTGGTCCCGGGGTGTAGTAAGAGGACTGGTGGTTCCGGGTTCGAATAAGGGAGAGGAGAGGTGATGACGCTGACGATAATTCGAGCAGCGAAACCTCGTGACATAGCGATCAGTCTTTCGTGGGCCACAGCTGCCGAAACTAATGGGTTTTCTTGAGGCGATTTACCGCTTGAGCGCATGATGGATCCCTAACATGAGGAAGGAGGAGGTTAGTTGATGAAGGGGGATATGAAGTAGACAGCTCGGAGATTCAAGTAGGGTCGGAAACTTAAGGCAGTAACTAGCGACTGAAAGACCTGATAGAAGGAAACCAGGGCGCGCCGCGCGGTGTAATCGTTAGACGGGCGCTTGGCGGTTGCTTGGGATTATCGTAGGCGGTTGATGTAGGTGTCGCTGTTTGCTGGAGACATCACGGCAGACAGAGACGAAAGAAGCACAAGGGTAGCGGCCCTTTGTCGACGAGAGCGCAATCCCAGGTCAAAATTGACCGGTTTTCGAGATAGACTTGAGACAAGGGATCGAAAGATTCCGTCTTGATTGACGGGTCAAGACGTTGACGCGGCTTGGCGGACACTCTTTGAGTAGGTGTAGGAGCGATGATCCGAAGTGCCCTTGCTAGTCGGAACCGGCTATCCGAGGGCTTGCGTCATGATTGCTTCTGTTGAGTGGTTGAGGATCAAGGCCAGCATGTCCGGCTGCTTTGAGAAGCCTAGCGGCCGAAAATAAAGGGGCTATTTGACCTGCAGGGTTCCTGGCCTGATCTTGCGCTGGCACACATATCACGATGTTTTGGAGCTCTCCTTCACAATATACGTGGAGAGCTACGGTGGAAATTTAGAAAAGGGTGACAGCTTGTCATCGGTTCTGATTCTACATAATGCAGGTCTTTGACGCTAGGAAGTCAGCTGGGAAAGGCAGCAGTGTTCCGACCATACCGTTGCCGTTGCTTTTGTCCAGCTTGAAGCTGTAGAAGCCGCTCTTGATGGATACTACATCGGCGACTTTGAAGACAGCCTCGAATCCGATGCCCTTCTCGCCGATATAGCCTGTACGCACATTCTGCTCGTTCTTCTCGTTCTTCGTGCTGCTCCCGATTCTGCAGAGTCGTCCGCGTTCTGGATCAGCTCAAGGTTGAAGTGAGCGTCCTTATTATACAGCTGCTCAGACATAACTGTCAAAGATCCGATGAGTTGGTCAATCTCATAATCATCGCTTTGGTAATTCGCGTGTGCGTCGACCTGCTGTCTCAGTAGCTCCCGTTGCTTCGGGTGTTCTCGTGGCTCAAGCAGCTTCTTAAGCTGGGCGTCGGCTTGTGCTCGATTCTCAGACCGGTCTTCCCATCCAGGAAGGACTGCTGTAGAGACTGCTCCGTCCATCTTCAGCGAGTCATTTGAATGTCTCGGGTTCGATCGGCCATGGGGGTTGGGTCGGAAAGAGTGGCCGTGAGGGAACTTCGGCAAAACACTGGCTAGAGAAGTTGGCGGAGCGGTTTGAGAAGGAAAGATCCTGGAAGAGGGACGTGAGGATTCGGGCAGGTGAAGAAAGAGGAAAAGCTGAGGGCAGGATGGGAAAATGGGAGCCATAGGTCGCCGGCGGGAAGGTGAGGTCGGGAGGATGAGGGTGAGGGTGAGAGTGAGGAAAGCAAAATCGAAAGCAGCCGACGGGAGAGATAGCCAAGGGGAAGTAGGCAGGCGATATCAAAAGGTGAGAAACGCTAACCAGGCTTGCAAGGAAAGAAGTCTTCGACGGCAAGTGCTTGTGGTAGAGCCCGCCTTCCTTCATTGCTAACATAGAAGTGAATAAAAGATTGTTTCTATAGCACAGTGAAAATGGCATCGATCGGAAGCGGTCCTCGACCTACACCACTCCGATCTCACACGTTCTTATTCTCCATCTTCGCCTTCCTCAAATCCTCCTCAATCACCAAACTCGCGAACAAGATAAAACGTAGAATAATTCCAATGCAAATGGTTCCCCCAACAACCTTGATCAATGCAGCAACCACCCAGGCCGTGCCCTTCATGCCCTCCAGCTCCCGAATCTGGGCATCCTTGCTCTCCGCAAGCTTCAAGTACGACTTCAAGTTGTTCTCACACTTCCTCTCAAAGTCGCGCTTGGCTTTCTCATGGTTCCTCTTTGCCTCAGTCTCAAGCTGCTCTTGGAAACGAACATTCCGCTGCTGCCATCGCTCCATGGTTTTGTTGTTCTCCGTCAGCCGCTCGCTCATCTTCTCGTACCGCATCTGCGCGATGCGTCTCTCCGCGTCGGACTCTTCCAGCTTCACGGACAGTCGTCTGTTCGCATTGTCGGCTTTTTGAAGCCTCTCTACCAGGTTTCTGTTTTGGGCCTGGGCGGTGTCAACTTCGTTGCGGAGCTTTTGGATGAGGGTCGAGATGGGGCTGTCAGCCGCCTCGCGGGGTGCTGTTGTTGCGAAAGCTCTGACGGTTGCCGAGGGACCCCAAAGAGGAGGGTGGAAGATTGATGCAGGGAGGCGAGTAACGACTAGGCCGCTCTGTTCGCGCAATCGAGATGTAAGAGGGCTTCTGGCCATGAGGCTGAAGAGCCTACAGGCGATGCCGTAGGATTGCACCGACATGGTTTCTGGTTTTTTTCGATATAGGACGGTTCTTCGATGGAGTTGAAAATGAAAGAGGATTTGGAAACCAAAAACTTCAGGTTATTTGTAAATCCACTGCGAAGTCAAAAGTTGGCGCCAGAAAACAAGCTTGATGTCCAACATGGATGGATACTTCACACCTTTCATGGTTATGGATGGCACCAACGGGGCAAACTGCACAGCTCCAACGATTTCAGAGATCCAACGCCTTGTCTCGAATTGGATTTTATCCTCGTAATGATCAACTAAAACTTGCAGTGGTAGATATCTCACGACTTTTGAATCAACACAAAACAACGCGCCACCAGACTTCATCACGTTCTGAAGTCAAGACCCGCCAACCACACAAAATCACCCACTCTCAGATCAAAACAAACCCTCAAAATGCTTCGGTTCGTCGCCGAAATCAGGGGCTCTGGGCACAAGATTTCTACTCCCAAGTTTCTCTTGCGCCAGGCCACTTACTTTCACACAACTCCTGCGCCTCAACCTCAGCCCAGGCACCACAAACCTGGACAGAATTCCGCGAAGTCCAACTTAAAAACAGACAGAAATGTCTTGTACGCCATGAACATCAAACAACGCTGGAGCTGGGGAGCTCTAGACGGCGCCATGTTCGTCGTGGGCTTATTCGGAGGTTACCACCTGACGACATTCTGCCTCGAGAAGATCATCAAAAACGGCCAGCCACGAAACAACCGTGAATCGGGTTACCCTTGTATGGGAGAGGCGATGAAGGAGGACAAGAGCAACAAAAAATCGAACGCGAGTGCCTGCGGACGGAATACTGACTCCTCCGGCCTTTGCCGATCGGGATGCCAGGGAGAGTCGTGTTTTGGCTCGGCCTACCCTCACGGTGTCAACAGGTGGATCTAGGCGCTCTATGATGGAGAGTTTCGGAAGAACGGAGACGACCGGAGGCGTGGGACGCCTTTGGCATAGGTCCATCCGCTGCGAATAATACAGAAACTTTCTGGTGTGTTGTCTCCGATATTTCCCTACCATTTGCTCTGCTCGACCTCGAAGGAAAGAAATAAAAACAAGAAACTGTTGCCACCGGACCTCGTATGGTAAGTGACAGAGCTGTGTATCTGGTGAGCTTTACGCTTTCTTCTCACTACCTAAGGCATGATTATGATCTTGAAATTGCCACGGCATTCATCCCCATTCGAGGCACAGTGATTAGAACCACACCAGTATACACCCGGATTAAAGCTCCAAATCGAGAGTCATGTTTCGAAACCTCTTTCGCGGCTCCCAACGCGCCCTCACCGCCCTTGCCCGACCAAGCGCATCGCGCCAAACACCAATGCTCTATCGAGAGGCATTGATCCGGCAATCACAACAAAGTCAACCATTATACGCAGCTTTCAGACTACTCGCTAGCTCCAGAATACATTCCTCCCAAAGCAAAGTCGCTGTGAACAATGATACCGACGTCAACGGGGGGGACGAATTCAACGACAAGAGCGACAACACCACCCAAAGAGGCATCATTTGCCGCGTAGCAGCAAGACCTGAACGAAAGAAGCATCTACGCGAGATAATGAAGGCATTGCGCGAGATAAGCGAGAAGCTGGATAAAATCAAGATGGATTTGGAAATAATTCGGAAGCAGAAGAGATACAGGTTCTGGACGCTGGCCTTGGCGATCATTGTCATGGGTTTCGTCGGTGCGATGTCAGGCCCCAAAAAGCCCAACAAGCAGGAGAATGAGACGGCGGAAGAGATCACACCAGACAACAGCCCTACATCAAAGACAGATCCAGATATCGTTTCGTGAGCGGCCCTTAGGCTACCTCTGGAGACAAGGACATGTATAGAACTAGGAACAGTAGCACTTTTCAGCCCCTCTTAGACGCAGCTTGTAATATTGAGCGTATTCCACTCATCCATCTACACGCAGAAAACAAAACAAATCAGGGTGCTTCAATACTTGCTGCTCGAAAAGGGGGGGCCTAAGAAAACGCAAGGTTCCTGTTTTCTCTGACGGTCAGGTGTGAGTAACCACAATGTCCCAATTACTCACTCAAAAGAACCCCTATTTTTCCCGTGCTAGAAAACTCTTCCCGCAGACTCATTCATACTCAACTGTCGTGTCTGATTATCGTCCCTACCTATTGTCGTCTTCGACATTCCACCGAAACAATGTTTCAATGTCTACTTCGCGGCTCCCAGAGAGCCATAACCAGAAACCTTGTCAGCCGCCCCTTGGCCCAGTTGCCACGCCCAGTTACCACCTCATCCAATGCGTTCCAAATCCTCACCAGGCACCAACCATTCTCTTCCAGACCACGCAATGCATCGCCATCCCACAACCCGCCTAATACGAAAGAACCCACCCTGCAAATCACCAGGAAAACCTACGCCGTGCACCGTGTCAACACGACCGCAAACAGAGGACAAGTCGGTATTCCGAGACGGCGGCCATTTAGACTCGACATCGCAGGACGACTTGACGACATGTTCAGAGACTTGCAGGATCGCGAGTTTCGCAAATTATTACTGGGGTTTATTCTGGTCAATGTCATAATCTGGAAATTGACTCCTGTTCCGTTCCATCCTCGGCGGAAGCCGGATGAGGAGGATGAGGAGTCGGGTACGCCGGACGAGAAGTCGGATACGAAAGGTAGCAGGACCTCATTGAAATTTAGAAACTTCTTTTGGGCCAATTGACGAGGAGGCATGTACTACTAGGTTAACAGCAACACCATTCAACTCATCCCAGGCGCCATATATGATAGTAAGAACGTACTCTGCTCATTTATATCTACAAAAACTGTTAGTTTTTTTTTTTTCTTCTTGTTTGTTTTTTTAAAAAAAAAATAAGTAACTATTACATTTCGTGCTCACAAAGAACGTCGCAAGGTTCTACTCCTGTTTTCTCCGATTGCCAGATGTGAGCAACCTCGATGTCCCAACCAGATATATAACAACCTCATCATCAACCTCTGAACGCAAAGTATGACATCCAAACCACAACATCACAGATCATAAGAAAAAAACAACCATATCCCACCGCAACAATGTTTTCAAGTCTGTTCCGCGGTTCCCGGCAAGCCATCACCAAAACCATCACCAGCCGGGCTTCCATCTACAAACCTCAAATCCAATCCCACACCCCCACCCTCAACTCATCAACCGCCTTCCAATCCCTCCTCAGACGACAAAACTTCTCCTCCGAAGCACCCAACACATCCCGCGAGCGGCTCGGCAATAAAGACGCCCTAGAAGCCACAAAAAAGGCCTACGAAGCGCCCCGCCTTGCCCTTCAAAGAGAAACCCAGAGAAAGCTGGACCTAGCGAAGGAGCAGTTCCAAAAAGACATTGAGAGACACCGGACGGAGCTCGGCTACACCACGCCGGGACGGGACACAACCGAGTCCGTCCTGGATTTCATCCGCCGCAAACCCTTGCGCGCAGTCGATCTGCGCGAGAGCGCGCCGACGTGCGAGTGGTACGTCCAGAAACTGGAAGAGGCCGCCGCCTCGGAGAAGAAATGGAGGGCCTGGAAGTGGGAGCAGATTCGTCAAGGTGCTTTCTTTACGGTGATCTTTTTGGTGTTGAACAACGTGGCGGATAGCGTGTTGAACCACTATGGAATCCGTCACGCCCGCTCCCCTCCGGCAAAGACGAGCGAGGTGGACAAGAAGGGCGAGGAGGAGAAATCTGTTCGCGACGTGGAAGTGGCGACAGTCACGACGAAAGAGTGAGTAGCCTGAGCCTCGACTTTGTTCATACATGCCCGATAAGTTGTTCAATAACACGACTCTTGAAGTGGCTTGTCGTGAACGTGCCCGGGTACTCACGAGATAGGGGCGGAGAAGCAAACAGTCAGTTACATATAATTAAAACCACTCTATTCATATCTATCAAATCATCAAATTCCTCTCTCAACCATCGTCCCACAGTCGTCGACTCATAATAATAGGTCTCGCAGGATCCCACGGGCCGTAAATTTCATTCTTGTACTTCTGCAACCCAATCAGCCACCAACTGCACCCTCCCATCGCAATCGCCGCAATGAGCACACTAACAACCATGCCAATACACGCGCTCTTCCACGGCCAGCAGCACCCACCCGCGCCGTTGTGGTCCCCGAGAATAATGCCCACGCCCGCGCCCGCGCCGAGGACCAGAAACACCGTCATGGCGTAGTGGTACCCCCAGCTGCGGTGGCGCGCGTAGCGCCGGAAGACGGGGAACAGGCCAAACACCTCGATGCTGAAGAGCGTCAGACTGAACACCTGGCCGGTGGAGGGCAGCCGGCTGGCGAGGACGGTGGAGGCCATGAGGGCGGCGTTGGTGGACAGCGAGGCGGGGATGTTGACGCGCACGCCGCCCGAGTAGTCGAAGAAGAAGATGTTGATGGCGAGCAGCCAGAAGGACATGGCCCAGATGCTGTCGCTGGAGGTGGAGCGCGTGAGCGACTTGAGGATGGGCGAGAGGCCGAGCAGCGTCGAGTAGATGAGGATGGCGCTCTTGATGGTGCCGAAGCGCTGGTGGACGCGGGAGGTGTCGTCGCCGGGCAGCGGGAAGGAGGCGCGGCGCGGCAGCGGCGGGTTGCTGCTGCTCGTCACCACTTCCTGGCTGTGCCGGCGGTACGAGGCGGGCTGGGAGGTGGCCGAGGTGGAGGAGATGAGGGAGCTCGCGGAGGCGGAGTGCGAGTGCCGCGGCAGACGCTCGGCGCTCGCGGAGAGGTTGGTCACGGAGCTCGTGGCCGTGGTGGCCGTGGAGGACTCGTCGACCTGCGACGGCGGACGCCGCGGCATGCTCCCCGTCCTCCGGCTGACCGTCTCCCTCCGCTTCGTAACCACACCCGGCTCGACGACGCCGCTCACGCCACGCTCGACGGCCATGCGCTCCTCGTCGGCCTCCCAGCGCTCCCACAGCAGCCAGCCCAGCAGCGTGGCCAGGCTGCCCCACGAGACGATGGACACGGGCGAGACGCGCTCCTGGAAGATGAGGACGAAGCAGACGATAAACACGATCACCGAGCACACGTGCTGGACGATGACGGTGGAGTCGGCGACCAGGGGCCAGAAGTCGTAGGGCTGCAGGCGCGGGTTGCGCTGCAGGCTCTCGAGGAAGGTGGCCTGGTCGGTGTAGTTGTCCGGGTAGCTCTGCTTGACCCACATGAGCTTCTTCCAGGTGCGCTTGCGGCTGCGGCGGGAGTGGGAGCGGTGCTGGATGCCGTCGGCGAGGGGGTCGATGCTGTTGCGGCCGCCGGCGTTGTGACGGAGGCGGGCGCGGGCGGCGCGGTGGTCTGCGCCGACGCCGGCGTCCGGGAAGGACTGCACGGGGCGGCGGGGAGGGGAGGTCGCTAGGAAGGCATCTTCGGGGGCGAGATGGGATCGGTTCTGGGGCTGGAGGTTCGTCGGGGTGACGCTGGAGCTGGTCGTGGAGGATGCGCCGTTGGTGGTGGTGGTGATGTTGGTGGTGCCGTTGAGGCCGGCGGGGAGGGTGGAGGAGCGGGTTAGGGGCGGAGGGGCATTGTAGTCCGTCGGGGTTGTCGGGGACATTGAGGCGTGTGCCGCCGGACACGGCGTTGGGGAGAAGAGAGACACGAGATCAGTGCGAGCGCTCAATGGCCGTGTGAGTCGGTGATGGGCGGGATTGCTGGCATCGAGGCGTCGGACCCTCTCAGCCTCGCGGTCGCGGATGGAGTGAAGTTGGAGCGAGGGCGCGCAAGGCTGGCCACTGTGGTTAATTGGACAGGTGCTATGCAGCTCACCCAATTAAAAAAAAAAAAGGGAGCGTGCACAGACGGGGAAAGGAGATTGGTGGGGACGGGCCCGAGTCAGGCCAGATTGGCAGGGGTCTCCCGCCCGGGCCACTAACCGCTTTGGGGACCTTTTTGGCTCGCTATTCGGTGGCCGAGAGGAGCGGCACCCGCCGTGCTTCTTGGAAAAGACAGAGCCAATCGTAGAGAACACTGCTCCCGCGTGCAACTCTGCACCTCTCACCTCTGCCAGCAAGCTTAACTTTTGCCCGAGTCGGGAGTCGGGTATTACGGAAACGCACCTAAATCTAGGAATCACGGATGCCTGCCTGCCTGCAACAGATGTATGTGTTGCGTTGTCTCACCCGCCTCGCCCATCTCAACTCTGAACACACGGCTGCTCTGGTTTGACTCGGGATGGGTGTGACGCGCAATTGACGACGATGGAGGTTCGCCCGGGTCCGCGGAATGCCAAAGCTTCGGGAACTTCTTTTTTCGTCCTGTACTGTGTCGAAACCCAAAAAGCTTGCGCGGACGACGCGAAAGTCAATCGATCGTCGTCGTCGTCTTCGTGGTCGTAGTCGTCGTAGTCGTCCCATCTCCATCCTGACTTTCCGGGCAATGCAGGACCAACGTCAACCAATATGGCCGACAACTCAATCTACACTACCTCCCTTTGGTATCCGTAAAGAATCTAAACCCAAGGGAACGCGTCTGCCATCGCGGCCCGCGGCCTCCCCCGGATTCTCAGAGACAACCAATCCAGCCAAACACCACGAACCGCATAACGACGAACCATCCGCCATAATTGATCACGGTGATCATGGTCCACTAGCACAGCCATCGTCGCCCGACTATCGTGTGCTGAGATGTTGCCCATTGGACCCTTAGAACGGAGTTCCACCCCGCCACTTTAGATTTCGCGATGTCAGCACCCTTCGCTTGGCCCAAAGAGGGCACCGGCATCACCGTTCCCGCCATGCGCCCTAGAGGGTCCGCGGAATACGAACGACTTCCAGAAGCAATCATCGCAGCTGCTCTGGGGCCCGAATATCTGTTTTAATCTGTAAATGAAGAACAAGAAGACCGGCCCCGCAGTAGCTCAAAGCTTGTTTACGGCTGCTCCCTGGGGGCCTGGCCTGGACTCCCTCTTCTTTCCCATATTGCGGAATACGCTACACGGCATCCCACTGGCTTTTCATACAACGCCGTGCTGCGCATTGCGTTCGCGGGAAATTTCACCAACCCAACCCCCCTCCCTTGACACTTTGCGCAGCAGCACACAACGGTCAAGGGAACACCGCCTCCGCCTCCGCGCCGTAAAGTAGGTACACCACACCCAACCCAACCGGCTGCCTGGTCGCGTGCTCGTCTACCATTCCCAGCTCTGCCTAGCACGCCCTCTTAGCACCTACCGCTCCTCTGGGCCCGCCGCGTTGACGAGGGAGTCGATGACAAGGTCGGCCGGTCCAGACCTCTCTTGCGCCGCCCTACAGGGACTAAGCCGGAAGAAGAACGCTGCAGCCTGCAGCAGCCCGCGGGGCCAGCAGTCTCTCTGTGTTTTTCTCTGCCCTGGATGGGACTGCTTATTTTGGAACTTTCGCGGGCCAGCCGGAAAGCCCTCGACGGATAAACTAGCAGCGATGCTGTGGTTGCGGTGGTTGTGAGCTGCCATTGACCCTCCTCTGCAGGAAAGGGCCCGAGTTACTGACGTTTCGGGCGGGTTGCTGGTGCGAATAGCCTCAACCACATCTCAGCTCATCTTTTTTGTGGAGTTTGCCTGCCAATCGTCGATCCCCTATTTTCCTTTCGCTGTCTCTTTCTCCAGGCACAAGGCAACATGACATCAACGAAAGAAAGCGAGGGATCTGCGACGACGGAGGATGGAGTCGGCTCGACCTCCCTTGCCTCAAGTTTTGACCTGAAGCAGGTATTACCGGACATGCTTGGCAAAGGGTAGGCAAAGCATGCCATTCGGATTTTTTTCGTATCATTGGGAGAGGGGAGTTTCATTCCCACGGTCGCGAAGTGGCATTTTCAATGGGCCGACATGGGCATGCACGCGGGTGGAAAAGCTCGTTTGAAGCTGCTTGAAACCGTTTTGACGTTCAGACAACCTCACGTCGGGGCAAGAAGAAGCGGGCTCTGCTGTTTCTGCCGGGGTGGGGCCCTCGGCTGCGATGGAACGAAACTGTCACAGACTTGCAGGAAAAAGGGTCAAGGCCAGGCTCCAGTTGCCATGGACGGGAATGACCATGGATATTCTTCCTTCTTTGTCCATCGTCAGTGGTCAATCGTCCATCGTCAATGGTCAATGCGAGCGAGGTTTCCTCTGGCTCAATGCTCGGCGATTGCTTGTCATGTCGATCATGAAGGGGGTCGTTCAGACGCTGCGATGGAAGATGGATTATGGATTCACGTCTGAAGTCGGCGGGGCCAAGCCTCGGACATTACATGAGGAGAGCACGGAGGAAAGAGAGCGAGAGACACTCCAAATGCCTCACAAAATGGCGCGCAACCAGGAACCCACAAGATGTTTGTCGCCGGGGACATATCTGGGCTGTATCCGTCGGAATGTCCCGTGTCTTGAGCCCGTCTGAAGCAAGCAACCGCCGCCGTCGAACGCAGTCAGTCGTCCTGGACACCAACCGTCGATTTGTGTGTTGCCCGTCACTGATCAGTGGATCCTTGGCGTCGATCCATTGCTTGGATGCAGCAGTTTTGTCTTTGGCGCCGGCTCGCACCAGGAGGTGGGAAAAAGGGGCCGCCGCCATCGAGCAAGTCTGCATGGTGTCATTGATAGGTGCCTTCGGCATATTGAGAGAGGGACCTTTTGTTTGAAGGCCAAAAATGCAGCTGTGACATGCTCTAATGACGCCGTCGAGTTGCATCGGCCAGCGGCGATCGATCTGTTGCTTACGGGCAGCGTGTAAGCTGAGGCAGCTGAAGAAGCCATGCGCTGTCAAATTTCTGCCCTCTTCCCCGTTTGTT